GGGGGGGGGGGGGGGGGGGGGGGGGGGGGGGGGGGGGGGGGGGGGCGTTACAATATCATAGTAAGCTGCCAAATAAGGTGACCTTTGAAATTTATTATTTATTGTTCTCGGAGCTTAATGTTGCCTTGGCAACTTTTGATAAGATTTTTTATCAATATTCGGTTACGGGAGGGGCCTCCCAAGCCCGATCATAGTAGATCCAAAAAGCTTGGTCTGGATAGGGGTAAGATGTTTTTCGTGAGCTAAAAGTCATAGGGCTTTTAGTCATCTACAACGTCTTCGTTAACCCATGATTGAAGGATCAAGTCATTGGCCCGTCATGATCTGCTTTGTTTTTACTCAACAGACGGAGACGCCATCTTTGACAATGCCGTCGATTATTTATGCCCTGGTCCTGAAATTTCATTCAGAAAGAAGATATGAGAAACTCGAAGGTCTGTTTGTTATGCACATCTTTCCACCATGTATTATGTCGACCTTTCCTCGATAGAATTTTAAGTGTGCTCCAGGCTATTGTAAGTTTGTCGCAATAATTTAGTAGTTCCCAAACATTCATACATTTGAGTTAAGACGGGACTGATAGAGACGATCGAAAGACGCTATAAACTCGGATCGAGTTGTCTGGGTTTGAGCCCTTGCCGGAGTCACGGTCTGAAGTTGTTGGGGCAGTCACTTTGCTCTCTTGGTGCCTATCTTTTAAGGACGGGCATGAAGGTGTACCGGCGAAATTACATGTAATGTCGGCGTGACCTCGCGATGGGCTTGCTTCTTTCCGAAACGGGGAAGGGGAGATAGAATCTATTCTTGTAGTTGCTTTTGCTACAGAATAAAGATACGGAACCGTAACACAGACTTCACGCTACGCTTACTGGGTTTGATTTAGGTTTGTTTGTTTGTTTTCTTCAGATGTTCACATTTCGTATTTATCGGCTGCCAAGTCTACAACTCCATCCGAAGGTGAGTCTAGTTGGTAATACAGTGGAACCCCCGGTTGCGACCGCCTCACGTAAGCGATCACCTCTCCTTAGTGACCAGTTTTCCAAAATACCAATAGTTTCCATGTCAAATCACTATATTTGGAACCTCTTGTAGCGACCACTTCTCGTAAGCGACCGCGACCACTCTTAGGGCTAAAAGTTTAAAATTTTATTTTGTCTTTAACCTCCCGTAATCGACCACTTGACAGATAATAGTGCGTAAATTGGATAATAAGGTGTTACAACCATATCGGTGGTACAAGGGACAGAAATATCTCAAAGGGAGGTACAGGATTTTGATTCTCGAAATTGAGTTTTCGCATGAATAAAACAACTCCTGAAAAAGAAGCTCTTCCAGCACGGCCCGTTTTTAGTTCCTTGTTGTAACAGTTAATTTTGCTTACAGGTTGTTGTCAGATAACCGTCAATTTCTGTCCTCTTGATCCAATTCCCGCAGTGTTTCAAGTTAGGTGAGAATCTTAAAACATTTTATTTCATTCCATTTCAACACGAGAGTTTCTTAGATTTTAAGATGACATAAGTTCATAAAGAACTATGTGTAATACCTTGGTAGCGCTTATATTTTCCATGTGGTACGGCTGCCTTAAATTGTAAAAATCTACGTATTTGGTAATGACATTTCAATCACCCATTTTTAATAATTCTTAACATTGTTTCTCTGACGTTATGCACTTTACATAACATTGCGGAAATCTCATTAAAATCTTGTTTTTTAA